CTGATCGTTTTATTTATATATGTGTACATTCTTTTCTCTCATGTACTTTTATTTTGAATTAACTATTATTATGTGATTAATTAATTATCATTACACACTTCAGATATTTATAACCTATGATTATTTACATTTTTTCTTAAACTGTAAGCCCCAACTTAATCTAATTTTTTACTAAATCTACTACTACTACTATTTTGTTTATTTTTTTCTCTGTTCGTTTTATTTTTACATGTGTACAGTTTTTTCTCTCATGTAATTTTATTTTTAATTACGTATTATTATGTAAATATTTAATTTAACATTTCAATTTTTTTTCTCTCTTTTTGGTTTATTTATATTTGCGCAGAATAGTGTTTTTGTCGTTTGTGCTTTTATTTATAATAATATCTTTTGAATCGTACGATTCCGATTGAATCGTGATTCTTTCGTGAGAATTGCTTGAGAGTAGGATTCTTTCAGAGGAATCAAATCTTTGATTCGATTCTTGATTCACTTTCCCTTCCCTACTCCATAGTGTTGTCCAAATGCTAAACCGAGACGAATCTTGGTCTTGCCAATTCAGTCTTGGTCATGGTCTTAGTCTTGCGCAAGAGTATCGCCACAGTCTTGCAGTTACTTATTAGCTTATTGCTATAGAGATATTACTGTAATTTTTTAGATAGGAAAAACTTAACTAAGCCCAAATGAAAAATTAAAAGGGTTAAATGCTACGTATATTGGTTATACCAATTATTAACATATAGTAACTAAGATTGCCGAAGGTATCAGTAACTATTTTGCCCTAATTCATATTTAAAAAATCGATTTTTTTGACCAGTCCTGATCTTGTTCTTACAACAGTCAGGTGGCCTTGAGCAACACTACTACTCCAGAATATCATAGCAGTTCTTTCATTTTGACAGATTAGGTCTTTAGGTTTTTAAAAATTGGATAAGGGTGTTGAAAAATCGTACATCGGGATACCGGAAACTGGAAATGGTGTCGAAAACTGATGCAGACAGATATTTTTACATTTTTATGTTTTACAATAAAAAAATAAATGAAAGACACTGTTCCAAACATATATTTTGAAATTAGAGATCTTTACTGACTCAACAAAACCATAATTGTTGATCCAAGTGCCCACCCGATTGAAAACGGGAAAATCACATTTTAAAGTTTTCTTAAGAGTCCCCAAAACTGGGAGTTTTGCCCTATTCTTACCATACATTTCTCTTTGGTTTTTGGCTTCAAAAATTCTTCCTAAGAATCTGAAATCGTACGTGAGGGGACAACATACAAATATTACGGTTTGGTGCTTATTTTAAAATTGTATACCTGTATTCAGTGTTATAAAAGGTTTACCGTTATTCAATCAATCAATCAATCAAATACTTTTGTCATTATAAGAGTATGAAAAGCAGAGCGAAATGAAACAAATTGAACAATGTGTCTGATGAGTTTTAGTATTCAATGTTTCGTTTGACTATTTTTGGAGCTAATAAAAATCAATATGCCGACTGTTAAGCAATTAGGTTCCATAGATAGGGCATCATTATTGAATCTGAACCTGGTTTCTAGTAATGGTGGTAAAGGACACTGCGATGCCTCTCTAAGGGTAGGAGTAATCTTCTTAGAGAGGAGGCATCTGCACTTATTGGACAGGTGTTGGTCGTTGGAAATGTTTTCTATTATTTCTTAATTCCTTTAAGGTTTAGAACCATATATAGTTAGCCGGGTGTTTTATCTTACAAAAAGGATTGTTTGCAGGTGTTTCCCTTGATATCGTGCAATTACTGCTTTCGAGATTCATGCCACATCGAATACATCTTGGTGAATGTTCACAACATGATTTCGTGCAATTACACTGCTGACTGACATCTTACGCGGTGAGACCATATACTCTTCAGCTTCCGAACGAAACTCAAGGTTTTTCCGAATATTGACATACACCAGTACATGAGACGAAATCTTCATTCTTTAAGTCATAAAGTTTATTGGAAGCCACCGGACAACTACACCAATTTTAAATATTCGTAGAGGTCAATATCCCTTATAATCTAATAATGAATTTAAATAGATATCCAGACCCTACAATAGTATTTAACAAGATTACATGACTGGTTCAAAATTTGGAAAATCCGACTAAATCAAGACAAATCACAGCACATCAAATTTACGCTTCGACATGAAACATGCCCTCCAGTTTTCCTTGACAATGCACAGCTTCCACAGACAGACACCGTTCACTACCTTGGTCTGACATTTGACAGAAAAATGAGGTGGGGCCCACATATAATCAAGAAACAAAAAACGCTAAATCAACGGTTAAGAATTCTGAGTTCACTTCTTTCGAAAAATTCAAAACTAAAACTTAGACAGAAATTGAACACATACAATTACTTACTAAAACCTATTTGGACTTACGCATCACAGATATTTGGAACTGCAAAAAAGACTCACTTAAACAAACTTCAAATCTTTCAAGCAAAAACATTCAGAACAATTACAAAAGCACCTTGGTACGTTAGCAACATAACCTTACATACTGACCTCTATATGCCGACTGTTAACGAACACATACGAACTCATTACATACGATTCCATGACAACTTACAAGGACATCCTAATACACTTATAAATGACATGGCCACTACGAATATACCAGGTAACGTCTGTAGGAGACTGAAGAGGAGCTGGATGAGGGACTTCCTCGCCTAATGTAGATATCACGCCGAGTTAGGTGCCGCTGGGCGCTGATCACCGTAATGCCTTTCATGACATTATTTTTTCCAACGACCTCACATTCACTGGTTGTCATTACCAGTATGACAGGTGTGAATAAAAAAAATTAAAGCAAAAAAAAAGTAGATATCAGTATGGAGTATTATCATATTGTGGATAGGATCATTTCAGTAGACTTTTTTTCCAAATTCAATTTTTTTTTATTTTTACGCTTTTAGTTTTTCTGCAAACTAGCACATGAAATGATATAAAACCAACAATAATTTAAGAATATTTAAAATAATATAAACTATTTTTAGCTCAAATTGATTAAAAATATTTACAAGATTAAATACGGAGTGGGATAGCCCAGTGATTGGGCACTCACTGTTGTTCCAATGCTCAAGGTCCTAGGTTCGAATTCCGGCTCATGGCAGAAAAATTATTTATTCTGTTTCATCGGCCGTAGGGCGACCCTGGGGTAGGTAAACCCTCCTGGGGCACACCGAGCCTCTATAAAGTGGTTACCTTTAATTAAATAATTAATTAAGGAGAAAAACCTGGCGGTTGAGCGTGATATCAGTCAAATCAGCTCCTTGCACAACTGTTGACTAAGAAACAGTAGTTCCCCTAAATAGTACTAAATCCAAGACTCTTCGTGGGTTGCAATGGTAAAGGTTTTTTTTTCACCATCTAACCTAACTTAAACGTTGGTCGATCCGTTCGCTTTAGTCGTTACATAGATCAAATACATTTTATTCAATAATTTGTCGCTGTTTTGATCTCGAATATCCACTACATCTATGGTGCATCCACTATTATTAAAGTAGGTGCGTCGTATTTCTATAACTATAATCAATTCCTGGTATATCCTGGAATTGAGTTTTCTAGGCAGTATATTCATTTTTTCACTAGAGATTCCACCACCTGACTGTATGTAGGAAAGGAACATCCCTCCTTGCTAAGCTTCTTGCGCGCTCTAAAGAAGTATGCAATGCAGGCCTGTGGACGAAAATGAGATCTGTTGGAACCATATTCTAAGGTAGTGGTTACAATTATTACTATTTTTTACAAACGGTACTCGAGCTGCTCCATTCATCTTCACGTTCAATTTTAGAATCCACTTAAACCGAGGAACAAAGCGCTGAGTCAGCCATTCCTCTTTTCGAAACCATTAACAGTCATCATTCGTCTAGTTTCCTACTAGAGATGCTGAGGCTTCATACCTGGTCGACATTTTGTTTTTGTTTCTTGCTTTATAATATATTGCTCTATAATATTGACCCTCTTTTATAATATAAACAATTTTTCAATGTCATATTATTTCAGCAAAATATAATACGCGTCATTTTGTCTTTTTTCGATCGTTTTTATCCGGATGTTATTGCTCTACTGAATGGAGCGCTTCCATATCCCTCGATTCGATGTATCATGAATTAATGTTAGTATGTTTTAATGATACAATGACAAAGTATAGTTCTTTAATGCACTGATCCTATCCTCGCTTATGAGAAGGCTGTTATATGGGTTCAACATGAAGGGTACTAATGTTTTTCATTACCTTAATTAATCAACTAGTTCAACACTTACTATAAACTTTATAATATCTACGAATTCATTTTGTTTATGTATAAAGTATGTAGTTTTCCAGAAACCGAAGTAGGGGTTCCTATGTTATTTGGCATACTTTATTTTCCACCTGGGAAAGTTGTTAAAAAGTCGGTATGCATTTAGGTGGAAGAGCGGAATTATATAATAGTAATTTTGTGTATGTAAGATTTAATAAATAGTTTGTTCACATGTCGAAAATGTTGAAAATTACACCGTATAAACCATTAACAATAGATTTAGTGAGCGCAGATATCGTAGTTTGAGAAGAAACCACAAAACAATAAACTTGCTTGGTTAAGGCATTTATCAAAATTAAAAAAAAAACTTATGTAAGAAGGTTTTATTTAAAAAATTTACAATGATTACATACAGTAATCAGTTAACATACGACCATATTGCAGTTTTTGATCTTTAGCTAATCTTTGGTAATGATATCTTTTGCGGGTTTTCAAATGATCCATTGTTTTACCACCAGTCATCTGAAAAATCATAATTTCATTTTAATGCATATAACTGATAGATATAACTTTTAATTATTAGATAGGCCTAAGACATCCCTCTGCTAAATAGACTAAACTAATTAGCATTAAAATAAATGCGAAATTTAGAAAATTTATTAAAAATAATAATATATGACTGCTTAAGAAAATTTGTTTTCCATGTGAAAACGCAAACACAAAATGAAATCAACATTTTATACCTCCTCCACTACTGCCGCCACTCGACCATCCACTGCTTCCTCCGCTGCTACCTCCACTAGGCCATCCACTGCTTCCTCCACTGCTACTTCCACTTGGCCATCCACTGCTTCCTCCACTGCTACCTCCACTTGGCCATCCACTGCTTCCTCCACTGCTACCTCCACTTGACCACCCACTGCTTCCTCCACTGCTACCTCCACTTGGCCACCCACTGCTACCTCCGCTACTTCCTCCACTGGACCAACCACCTCCACCAGAACCTCCACTTGACCATCCACCTCCGCTCTTACCGCCTCCACCTCCATTTCCACCGCCACCTCCACCGCCTCCCAAAAGGATGATCTTTATGATGGCCGGTTGTAGTGATACTTGACTGCCTCCTCCTCCTCCTCCTCCTTTTCCTCCTCCACCGCCTCCACCACCACCGCTTTTCCAGCCTCCGCCGCCACCACCACCACCGCCACCGCCACCTCCAGACCAACCTCCTCCTGAAGAGCCTCCACTACTCCAGCCTATAGAAAACAAAGTTACATTATTGTAGTTGATAGAAAAATGTGAAAGTATCATATTATTTTGTTTATTTGTTTAAGGTACCTACCAGAAAAGGCCTGATGCATAAGTGCACTGAAACACACAACTGCACAGACAACCTAAAAATATATAAATATATTTTAATTAAGTTTTAAATAAAGAAATGAAACTACATTTTTGTAATATTTTTTTTTCAGCTTAATTCAATTTGATTCTTATATTGAGTGAAAATGAAAAATCCTATTGGAATTAAAATGAATATTGAAATACATGGGAAAAATAATATAATTTATTTGTATTTTTACATTTTATTCCCAACTATATAACTTGGAGTTAAATTTAAAAAATACTAATGGAGTTTATTCGATGATCAACCCGTAAGCCTGAACCTTAAGACTTTTGGTTTGAAATAATTTTTTTTTTCGGATAATACTGCCTGAAAGGAGAATTCTTACCTTCATTGCTTGGGGTGAATGTGATGTTCGGTGGTTGCTTGGAGGTGAATATATACCGCCTGCCTTTGGTGGGGGGCTGTATTCTCTTCTACCATCTCTTTTAGTTAGAAGCCTATTTAAATGTAATATCCCTCCCTAGTTACTAAAATTAATGATATTATTTAATTTTTACCCCTACGTTTTATCATATTAGTATTTAAAATATAATAACTTAATGCATTTAATAAACGCATTATTTGATGATATACATAAAATACTGCTTTTTCGTATTCTGATTACATATTGCTTCGTATATACAAGCTTCCTTATTTTTTATACATATATCCTTCCTTCCTCTCTCTCACTCTCTCTCTCTCTCTCTCTCTCTCTCTCTATATATATATATATATATATATATATATATATATATATATATATATATATATATATATATATATATTCATATTTATTTATAATTATTATTTGCCTTCGATAACCCCAAAGAAGGAGAATACATTAAGTGAATATTACGTTCCATGAATATATGTTCCATGCTTAATTTAACGAGACACTAAATGTAGTACATGTTGCACTTTACAATACATAATATATTTAGACTGTTTCGCATTAGTTCAAAATACTAATTAAATAATCGTAACAACTAATAGTAAAAAATACTAAAAAAGAAAATGATCAGAATCAAAACATTTCTATATACAAATAAAATACAGTATAATACAAAATAAAGAAATATAATAAAATAAACCTTATTAAAAAAAATAACTAAAAATAAAGCTAATAAGAGAAACTAAATCCCAAAGCAGAACAAGCAAAGTAAAACTGTTTTTTTAATTTAAACTTCCTTTCTAAATTCATCAGTCAAAGGTAAAAATCTATTTTTAAAATAAAATCTATGAAATTTTTTTTAAATTTTGTCATTAGTCTCTGTTCTGTTTCTGGCCAAGTTTCTTAATTTGTTATTACTTTAGTCTTCCTCGAATATTGTCTAGTTTTCTTCAATTGAATATTAAGTGTTAAAAAATCGTGTATCCGTCCGTCGCACAGTGGGATGAATAACCCATCTAGGCGGGAAAAACTCACCTGAAAAAAAATACCTGATATTTTTTTTTTTTTGTGTCTACCTAATATAAAGAAAAAATACTGATATACATAAGAAACTAGAATAAAGTAATACATATATAATTAATATGCAAAATGAATATGATATTGTTTGAAAACTACAATTGACATTAGTGGATTCAATAACAAACGTTTACTGTATTTTAATTAATAACTATTGAAATGTTTTGTGGAAAAAATTTCAATATAAAACAACCAAAGTATTTTGTATTTTAATTAAAAAAGAATAAGATACAAATATAAAATACATACTTATCATGAAATGGCGCTTTACAAAATTATCTTTAAAAAATGGGTTTATTCTTGCGAGAAAAGGAGTTATGAAATTAGAGGAGATTTGATATATATATATATATATATATATATATATATATATATATATATATATATATATATATATATATATATATATATATATATATATATATATATGTATATATATATTTTTTTAAGTTATTATAATTTATAATGAAAGTGACGTCCAATCAAGTTATTTAATTTCAAATATTCTCTATGGCACTAGCGGATCCAGGATTTCATTTGGAGGGGGGAGGCTTCAGCCCGAAAGCTTTCTTTTTCATATATATAACGATAATTATTCTAAAAAAAGAAAGAAAGATACTAGCTACATATATTAAATGGTGTTTCTTGAAGTCCTATTAAATGTAATTACACGAACAATAATAATAAGAGATAATATTGTAATATATTTTACCATAAAACATGGTTACACATTTGGGGGGGGCTTCATCTTGAAAGCCCCCCGTAGATCCGCCTGTACTCTATGGCGATAAATAATTCAAATTCTTCCTTTTTTCTTTCCTGAAAAGTACTTAAAGAAACAAGTATCTTTCCTAATTAAAAATCTTTCGGTCCAGTACAGCATTACTTTTTGATTTAACAAAATATACTCTTGTATCCTTTCCTATGATAAGACCCTGCAGTCCTTCATAATTTTTTTTAAGCTATTCAATTTAATGCCAATGTTATAATTTGTGTTATAATTTGAACTCAACCAACTTTTAACAATTTCGAAGCTCAATTTTTACATGGATCAATTCTCATACAGAAGCTAATAACCAAACTTAATACAACATTTAAAAGGACCTGTTCCATTTGGTAATTTATTTTGTGCATTTGTGCAAATATAAAATAAAATACATTTTTTGTATTTTAGTATACTGAAAGAGAAAAAAAACCTTTTTTTTTATTTGGCAATTTAAAAAAAAATACAATTTCAAAAAATGTATTGTATATTTTTCTTCTTAAACAACTTAATTTCTTCTTAAACATTCTTGACATTTCGGTTTAATTTCTGCCACTTCCAATTTGAGATAATTTTTCAACCCAACAAAAGAGATCATCTTTCGACTCGAATCGTTGAGCTGAATATAATTTATTTTATTCCTGGCCTGTTGTTACAAGCATTTTATACAACCCGTTGGTCTCCCCTAATTAAGAGGGTAATGGTCTAACTTCCCGCGGGGACCAGCCGTTGTGGAAAGTAGGGACGGACGGAATTCGATCCTATATTTACTTTACTAGTATAGCGCGCTAACCGCTCTGCTATACCTGCCCCTGAATATAATCAATGTTATTAAAATATCATTAATCATAGGTTATTTATGAGTATGATTTTTCCAAATGCAGAATAACTAACTTATTTTAATAGAACATTTTAATTTAAATAAAATAAAATAATGTCTCAAACGGCATGAAAAGGCAATCAACTTCTTAATTTTTCTTTAATATTCCTACTTACGTAATTCCTAGTTACATCTCGGAAAAAAATCACACAAGTATTTTGGGGTATATTTTAGTAAATTAATTTTGAGATTATAAAATTACTTTATTTTAGAGCATGTAGAAATGAATAAGTTCATTGGTCAAATTACGAATTGAGAATTTGATGAATGATTTACTTAAATACTAGGCATCTATAGCTATTAAATAAAAATTATTATTGTAAAAATTAAATTAACTAGTGGTACTGAGCTCAAATGAAAGATAAGACAATAATCAAACAAAACGTGAGACATTAAATCAGTAGTTGTTTAGAGGGTTGTGTTTATCTTTGGGAACCGCTAAAATCAAAACAATTTATGATTATTTTCTAATTAAACATTTTTTCTTTATATCATACGTTGGATTTGAAAAATTTAAAAATCATTTTTTTCCACCTAGATTTGACATTCGTCCCACTGTTGTGCTAAAATTGTTCTTTACTCTTAACCCCGTCTACTCTTACGTTTCATCAGCACGTTAAATATATTTTTTTAATTAATATAATTAAATAATAAAAACTTTTACAATTTCATCAATATTTCGATCGCGATAAAAAAAATATGTCATTACTAGAATTATGGTTAGGATGTTCTACATATTTTTAAGAAAGTAAAATATTCACGATTCTCTTCTACTTCACATCTTTCAAGCAATTTGAATTAAAATACACCACTTTTAATATTAAATATTTACTTTTTTCGCTGAATTAACTCTATGTTACAAATTTCCATAAATATTTGGATGGTCGGAATACATTTTATTATCAATATCTGAACTTCCGATTGAGAGTTTATTTTTCATATTTATCTTTTAGATTAGACATTTTTATAAGAATTCTGGACATTTACGTGGTCGAAATTATTTTCACTCTTCTGGGTCAATTGGATCGAGTAAAAGAAAGGAGAGGGACGATTTGGATTTCTATCTAAGAAACGACGGGAGTGGAAGGACGATACATCACTAACATAGTAGTTCCGAAGTTAATTATTTTCCATGTAATCATAAATTACCTGCGATTTTTTTTATTACTACTAGGCGTCAGAATCCTTACGATTATAAAATTATATGACATCATAATTACAAGTTCCCACGTTAACTGAGAGCTTATAATTATGATGTTCACTTTATCTTGAAGCTTGAGAATTTTCATACATCTGAAAAACAATATCTGTTACGGGTTTTTTCCAGAAGTCCTAATACTAAAACGTAGCATAAGAATGAAGCATTCATTCATTATCAAACCAACATACATTTAAGATGGGAACTTATTATGATCATTATTTTATTATATTAGATAGAATATCTTAAAAAGGTGAAGCCCACCAATATTTTGAATTATTTTTAATCAAACATAAATACTAGGAATAGAATTAGAAGTACTACTTGTACCATGGGGATTAATTTCTATAAATGAGATCTGCGTAAAAAGCATTTGAACATCACCTCTTTTTATACTACGCAGTATTTACTTTTTGAAAGCAACATCTTTTTTAAATATGTTGGTTCTTTTCAGCAGTGCTTCGTATCGAGATTTTTTACTAAAAGTGATGGTGATTATTAATAACCTTTATTTAAGGATAACTTGCAAGAAATGGCGCAAGACGGGCAGAGATGGAGCAGGCTTGTTAAGGCGGCAAAAGATCAACAAGGTCTGTAATGCCAACAGAAAAAAATAAGGATTATAAATCATATGTTATTCATTAAACGTAATTATTTGAAAATTAATA